GAAGCAGCTGTCATGCCTTACATAGGGGCAGATAGAATGATTTAAATAGCGGGCATTGTAAATGATCAATCAACATAGCCATAAAATTTGGATAGTTTTCTGCCCTTCCAAAGGCGCCAGCAACAAATCCTTGCAAATTAAAATACAAGACTTAACAGATGCATTTTGTGTTGTGCTGTGAACGCTGCCAAATGCTGGCTCTGGTGGACCATACATGGGAGTTGGTTCCAGTCATGGGCGCTTGTCAGCCAAGGCTGTGCTGCCCCCGGAGGTTAGCTCTGGGGAGAGATGGAAAGCACCACAGTAATGATATGAGGAGCAATTTCTCCTTGAAGCATCAGTAAGCAATCTATCAGTTGGAGTCAGAACAGGGAGGATGGCTGTATCTAGGCAGAGCCTTTCAATCTTGTGAGGGAACTGAGGAATATTACACTAGAGCCTCCATACAAGTAATCGGAGTACTAAAAGCCACCTCTGCTTATGCAGCATTTGAGAGAGGTTTGTGAGGGCCAGTGAGATAGTTAGGTATGGCGTGAAAATCCTGGTCACTGTGGGAGGAAAGTCCTGATGCTCTGCTTTGCGAGTAGGCCTGGTACCATTAGTTTTTGTGTCTCCAATTCTTTCCAATGCTTTTTGTTTGTTGGGGAATCTGGAAACCAGAGCTCATAAAACTCTGAAAAAAATCACTATGTATGAAAACTGTACAGTAGCAAACCCCTAAGACATTAAGGACAGGACTTTAAAAGAGCCTCAATGAATTAGGTGCCCAGCTCCCACTGCAGTCCAATGAGAGTTGCATCCTTATGTCCTTTGTAGGTTCCTTTGAAAATCCTCAGTCCGAGTCAACAAGGACAGAAATTCACTCGGAAACACAAAATGAGTGGTTCCAATCTTAGGGCAGTTTCTAAATAATAGAGAGGAAAAATAAATGTTAGTAAAATTATCATTGTTTCTATGCATCTGATAGAGTGAGAACCACCATTTCTCCAGGAAGAAGTCCTGAGGATGATGTAGTTTGGAGCATAGGACATAACGGCCAGTGTTTGTGAGAAAAGGGATTGAAAAGTTGTAAGTGAAGTTGTATTTCCTATAAATATAACCGTGGCAAAATGTGCCATTGAATAGTCAAGCTTTATCCATTTATTTAAAATTGAAACTTACCTGATATCCGTGTTGCCAGTCTCCTGGATTCTGGTGCTGAGCTGCCTTTCTTGTATCTTGCATCAGGCAGACAAGTAGGCAGCATCTTTATCTCTTACCTTCTATTTAAGACAGCATGAAACCAGTAGCATTCTGCTTCTTGGGGTGAGATGCAGCGAGCAGCATTTCACGATTTACTGAAATTTTCCTCTATTTGTAAAGTTGGATTATAGCACAGCAAGGCTGATGCCATGCACCCCAGGTGGGGAAGTATGTTTATCCATTATTGGCATTTTGTTATATAAGAAACCGTAACCAATTCAAAGACGTTTACAGCAGTACCTGCCCAAGCAGTGTACTGTATGCAGAGTCTCAGTCTAGCTGCTGATAGTGGATGCATGTGTGGGTGTGAGTGTGGGGGGGTTCTATTTGCAAGAGTAGGAATATAATCGGTTTGGTTAATAATCTCCCCACCTAAACCCCCTTTGTAGTTTCTTTTGGATAGCTTAATGGTCTTAGCAATATTGAATAATTGTCCTTGAATATCACATTGAAAGATATATTACAGAAAATACATAATGGTACTGTGGGCTAATGGGGCATTTGTGTTCAGGTGGTTGTATCTCTTTGGTAGACTTACTCCTCTGTGTCAATTTGTATAGAACTTTTTCATTGTTCTGGATGATATGGGTATACCATGTTTTCACGCTTAGCCTCCTAGCTGCATCTCTGAAAAACAGTAGCACTTCCGTTACATAAACTATTACCACCTCTTCTCTCTCCTACCAATCCACTCTGAATCACAACTTTTTTTTTGCTGTCTGAGGTCAGCTGGTAGTTACTATATTTCTAAGACTTCCCACAAATCTGTAGGTTTCCATCATGAACACCAGATCACGTTTGTGCAATTACAGGCTTATTGTATCATTGATGGTTTTGAGCTCTGTCAGCCCCTGGCTTCTCAACAACTTTGATGGAAAAAAGACACCACCAGGTGACACAATTGCCACCTTTTTTTTTCTCTCTTAGGTGAAATACAGTTATACAAATAGCTTGATAAATCAAGCAAGTTCATAGAGCCTCAATCTCCTGAAAGGTTTATAGCATTTCAGGTCTCTTAAGCACTTATGTCAGTGTTGCACTACATTGTTGAATTCATTAGATCTAGTCCAATAGAAATAAGGTCAGGCTGACATCCATTAGTCATCCATCAAATGGAAGTGTCTCGGTGCTTTTAATGAATTGGCAAGGATCACAGAGGTTGCAAGCCCCTTGCACACATGCATTGCCCTGGCGTTCCTTTGTTAGCAACCATGGGAGCTGAAATCATGTACTTCACGCTGGTTGGTTTTCAGATTGTTCTTACGTGATTTATCTTCAGCTGCGGGATGAAACGACGCATGCGGTAGGTCCCAAACCAGGGCGGGCTGAAATGCTGCCTGCTACAGGCAGCAAGCTAGTTTAGTAGGATGGGCTGCTGCTGGGCTGCCTTGGTCAGGGGGATAGTAGAGAGTTAATGAGCTCTGCTGGTCCACTCTCCCAGATGTTAATACTCTTTCCTAGGGCTGTAGTGTGTTTTGCCATTCTTGCCTGTGGTGGTGGAAGAACCCTTTGGTGCCATGGGAAGGGATATCCACCTGTCTGCAACTTGCTTGTGGAGGAGAGCAGAACTAGTCCCAGCAGATGGGAACAAGAGTGCAAGTTGTTTCTGTTAAAATTTGAACCTTTGAAGGGGTTTGTGCAATTCGTCGTCAGGGAATGTGGATCTCTCTCCTGTAGAAAAGCCAGAGATTACTGCAGGTTGACAAGCCTGGCTGAATCAACAGTACATGTCACTAAATTAAAAGATGCGTAACTTAATCCCGCAGTCTCCCTACCTCGATTGGTTGATATGGACTGGAGAGTGGACATCAAGACTTCTTCGGACAGCATCAGCAGAATGGCGGTCCCTACCTGCCTGCTACAGTTGAAGGTAATGTTAATGCACACCTACTTTAGATTCTGACTTACAGCATTTAAGTGACTGAGTTAGTGGCAGTGAAGAAGAGTTCAGTGATAATGGTAAGAGTGATCAAAATAGCTGTGCTTTTTCAGGGCATCTTTAGAAATCCTATAACTGAGGTCTATAGCAGTAGTGACAGACTCTTTGCTATAAGGGAGAGTGCTTTACTATTACAATAAGGAGCCAGCTGACTAGGCCCTGGGTCAACTTGAGTTGTCTGAAATATGGGGACAGCATAAGGACAGTAAATCACAATATGCCACCTGCTCATTTTTCAAAGTCGGTTTATTCAGTAGCTTCTTTACCAGACTTGTGTTACTCAGGATGTAGGGTTTGGCTAGCAGTGTACTGGCAAAAAGACTTCTCTCACATACGACATCTATCAGCTTTGGGAAGGAAATGGCTGGACTCCTTGGACCCAAATACAAATTGGGTGGGATTTGAACCTTCCATTTTGCACAAGCACTGAAGATGGGTTTGGGTTGAGTCAGCTCTTTCTTTGTAGAAGAGAAGAGTTGGGGTAAATGTAATAATTAATGTCTACGCAGCAATCTCATGCTATTTCTAGTGACAAGATGCTAGTAGCAGATGAGATGCTTATTAGAGATGAGGTTTGTCCTGGTGTCTTTACTCAGAACTTCTCCCTTACCCCTTGTGTACCTGACCTGCTGGTTGCTTACTGTTTGTGTTGGAAGAAGCTGCGTTGCTTTGGTTTAGGAAATATTGTATTGCTCTTCAGGATAAAAAAATTACCCTACGAGTCATGGATGTGCTTTTTGTTTTATTTAGTCAATGCCTTGCTTTTCCATTCAACCTTGATTTGCTCCTGGGGGCTGTGTGTGGATTTCTCATGTGATTTCAACCCATGTTCCTATTTCAGATTCAGGAAGATGCTGCCTTGTGTGGGAATAACCCGATGATCTCTGCAATGACTGTGGAGCTGAGTAAAGAAACCCTGGATACTATGTTAGAGGGCCTGGGAAGGATCCGGGACCAGCTCTCTGCCGTTGCAAACAAATGAATGCCTGGGGTGTACATCTCAGCTGCCACTCAAACCTGGAAAGGAACTCTCCTCCATCTTAATTCCAGCTCTCTTACTTTGTGGGATCTTGATCTCTTTGTTAACCAAACATTTTTTTTAAATTAATTGTTTTGCTGATAACACAGCTTTTCCCAGGCAAACACTTAAACGTGCCCTTGGTCCAGTGCCAAATGTATTTACTAATGTTGAATGAAAATTGGTCGGTATTTCCAGGAAGGATTTAAAGCCTCAGAGTCTGACTTAATCACGAGGGCTGGAACGGGAATAACAAACACCAGCAACCAATGGAGCGAATTTATCTCCCTGCCCTGAAATAAGGGACTAAAAAAGCTCAGGCTGGCTAATGGGCTAGCTTCCAGCATTAGCAGACATTGAAGGTGCTTCTCTCTTGACTGCATGTATGGAGGTGCATGCTGTATGAATCTTTTTCTCTCTCGCTCTCAATGAGGCACAGCCATGCCGCAGATTGTTATTACAGGATAATGCTTTGAAATAAGGCAATTATGCTGCAGTGCATTCCCTTCTGATCAGCTCTGTATCACCATTTGCAAAATGACTAATCTGAACTCCTCAGTCTAAGTAACTGGGTTGGAACATCTTTAGCAGCATGTAATTTCTTCCTTCCATTTGAAAAGAAAAGGGGGGTTTGATCACAGGTGTTGAGTTTATTAGATTTAAGCTTTGTCTCCTGCAAAAAAAAAAAAAAAAAAGAAGTGAAGACAGAAGGTAAAGGATCAATAGCAACTGTCTGTACCACAAAAAGCTTTTGTGTGGCAGTCAGTGCCTGTACTCCCCAACACGTCAAGTCATATGTTTGTGTAAAACAAATCTTTTAATAAAAGACACAATTAAACTGCTACTCGGTTGAATAAACTCTCTCTTGTCCGAAAGATACATTGCTGTAGGCTGTCTCCCCTAGTCTCTAGCTTGTTTCCTCCTTTGTCCCACTTCATTTCCCTCGCCAGTTCAAGTCAGTCATCTTTTCTGTGGGCTCCAGCACTGTGCATTATCATGGATATAGCTGGGCATTGTCTGAGTCAAAACCTTTCAGGCATATTTTTTGCGAGGGCAAAATGTGTGGCTTTCAATAGGTCTTTTATATTTCTATAATATGAATGGGATTCAGCCCCACTCCGACCTCTGCAGCTGGCACCCAGTGTACCTTTCCTTTAGCAAGGTCTCAAAGTCATTACAAGCATTATTTCATTTAAGGAAGTAATTGCAGTGACAGTACAGGAAAATGCAGGCTTTCTTAATATATGTCTGTAGCAGGGTGCTGGGGTGTGTCTGCTCCTTTATGGGAGCAAGCAGCCTGAGAGCCTGCTTGCAGGTGGGGAGGAAGACTAATGAGAGATTCACCTGACCAGAAGAGGGATCAGGCTGGAGCTATGTAAGACCAGAGCCTGAACCAGTCAGGCAGTCTCTCCCTGGCAAACAAAGTGAGGAGCGCCTGGCAGCAGAGCTCCTGAAGGGACCTGGATTTAGCTAAACAACTCTGCAGGCCTGGCGAGGCAAGTTCTTTGGGTAGAGAAAGACTGGGTTTTATAGTAAAGTAGCCTTTGTTTTATGTTAAACCGCTAGAGAGTTTGAGGTGTCTGTCAGAGGGCTGAGATGCGTCTTGTTTATTTAAGTTGCATGGTGTAGGGGAGGAACAGAGCCATGTACTGAACTCTTATGGCTATGGGAGCCCTGAAAGGGCAGATGCACATGTAGCCCTTGAAGCTGCAGGGGCCCTGCAGGGGCGCAGGCCAGCCAAGAGGGCCCATTGAGCTTAAGGGTTGAATCAAGGCTGTTGGAGGTCCAAGAGAGACCCAGTGGTACTGCAAATGGACTAAGGATCACTCTAAGTCCCATAGACAGCTTCCCTTATTCAACCTGTAGTAAAAACAAGGTGGGGCAGGTGAGCAATTAAGGGAGGGCTGCAATAGAGACTGAACCTGGCAGGTGTCGCACAGCCACCAGGGGGCACCACTGCAAAAAACAGAGGCATCTAGCACTCTGTAACAGACTCCTTGTGGCTGAGAAAGGACAGTTGCCAAAACACTGAAAAAATTCAGACCACACTGTCTATTTTAAATAAGAAATAACTGTTTTTTAACAATGGCGTCTGTGTCTGTATAATGTATATTTATATATTAGTAAAACAAGGTAGTCAGCAATAAAGAAGCTGGTACCGTCGGGTGGAATGGTGGGAATTCAGCATGGAAATCTTAAAAACCGAAATGTTATAAAGGCTAATTAACTGCATGATTGGCAGTTGCACAGAAAGTTTTGAATGTGAATCAATACTAACCTTCCCACTAAACTGTAGAGAATAATCTAGCAGTGGTAGAGAGGTGTGTTCAGCTGTTTTGTGTTATCCTCTGGATGATGGACCCAGCAAACCAGTCAAATGACTCTATAATGGATTTTTAGACAAAGACAAAGCCTTCCAGGAGCACAAAGATTCATTCCAACTTCCAACATCCCACCTGTCAGTATTAGCTGGACATACCTGCAACCTGCTAAGAGCACAGAGATGCATAAAGTAGATGAAAGTATGCCACAGACGGCAACCTGTACTAACAAGTTCCTGACTGGAATTAAGTACAACAAAACTTCCTTTTTTGCCTCAGTCTTCACAGGCCAGGTCAGCTCCCAAGCTATTGCACACTGGGCAGCACAGTTTATGGAAGAGGTGAGCAGCCGTCTGGTGAAAGAACAAGTTAGGGACTACTTAGAAAAGCTGGACATGCATAAGTCCATGGGGCCAGATGGGATGCACCTGAGGGTGCCGAGGGAGTTGGCTGATGTGATTGCAGAGCCATTGGCCATCATCTTTGAAAACTCACGGCAATCAGGAGAGGTCTGGATGACTGGAAAGGGGCAAATGTTGTCCAATATGTCTTAAGCTTGGTTTGACACAATATCTTGCAACTCAAAGTTTCAAGAACTTGTAAAGAAGTTTCTTCTCGGGTGAGAAGGGACACCATTCTTACTCCAGTTGGACATTTTTTCAAGACTCTGTCATAAGCATGAGTCACTTCATGACTGGCCCGTATCAGCTTTGCCCAGCAATAAAGCATATAAACACTTGCTACAAAATATATTGCCCCCCCAAAGCCAAAATATCTGGACAAAGCATCACCTAAAAAGACATCAGTAAAATCTGCAGAGAGTGTAGGAAAATAAGAATGGAAAGTATCTCTTGGGTCATCAAATCCAGCCCTCTGCTATCACAGGCAACCCTGTCTCAGAGTCTTTTTTGTAAACTGATCAAGCTCCACAGTTCCTACTAACATGAAGAAGGAATACAGCAGTCATCATCAGGCATAGGGTAAATCACATAAACTCTTTATTGAGACACCATCATTACAGGTGCAAAATTGAGACCGAGAACCCACATTTCAGGCCAGCTTGAACTGGTAAGTCGAAATATGTTGTATTTACTTGAATCCAAAGAGCCCCCCGCCTGCATTCAACAGCCGGGGGGAAGGGAGAGGGGAGGGAAGCCATCCCCTTGGATTTGAATACAAGGTTGGGGGGGCAGGTGGCTCCTGCAGCTCCAACTCTATCCTGAGCCTGGGTTGGAGCCAGAGTCAGAGCCATAGCAGTTGCCTGGCTCCCCCCAGCCTCTGCGCCCACTCCATCCCTGCTGCATACTATCAGGCACTGCTCCAGTCTGGCTCCATTCCCTTCCAGGCACCAAACACATGCTCCATCTCCTGCCTGGCTATGCAGCAGTGACAGTAGCAGCTCAGCCCTTGGATGCTGCTGCATGGCTAGGCAAGGGCTGGGGCTTGCTTATGCTCAGTGCCCAGGGGGAATGGAGCCGGAGCCAGAGCATACCTGACAGTAAGGAGTGGAGGAGGGGGGTGGGACCAGATGCTGCAGGGGGTGCAGGTAGCAAGGGCACAGGCAGGCTGCAGGGAGACAAGTGGTGGGGGGAGTAGCTACAAAAGTAAGGGCATCAGAGGGGGACAAGTGGTTGGCGGTAGGCACTGGGACGAGGAGCAGGTGGCAGGGGGGCAGGCACAGAAGGAGCAAATGGCAAGGGGAGAGCAAGAGGTATGGGGCAGGCTCCCTGCCCCCTAGCTGCCACTTTCCCTCTGGCAGTAGTGAGGAGATGAATTTAAGACAATCCTCCAATAACTAGATTCTAGACATGGAAAAATTAAGACAATCTAATAACTGGCGAGTCATCTTGAATTTGGGCGAATACAGTAACTGGTCTAATGTCCTCCTTGAAAATTTTTTTTTTGCATGAACAAAAATAAGCAATCCCATAATCTGTTTGGTGTTGAAACTTCATTGGAGATAAAATAAGGATCTAAACAGAAGGAGCCTTTCAAGACTAGCTACTCAGATTAGTATAGAACTAGAAGAAAAATCTGCATTTGTAATAAATTTGTAATGCAATCTTGAATTAATAAAATAGAACCTCTCTCTAAAATCAGCCCACCATTATTTTCCTGTCTGTAATGTCCTCACCTGCCTTAAAACTAGTTTGGGTAACTAAATTCATATTCTTCAGTCTGTTCTCTATTGAAAGAATACATGTCTAAGGACAGAAAGCTAAAACAAGAAACTTGTCTCAGGTTATTCTGTTAATAGCCTCTCTTTCCTGCAGGCAATTGGATGGATCAGCTAAGGCAAAGAAAAGAGATGACATTTGCCTTGCAGCTGACCAGGTGGTGGAGCTGGGACTCTAGAAATCTTGGGTCAGCTCTTTCACGAACCCCTTGACCAAGCTGCCTTCCTTGTGCTCGTCTGCTTCTGCTGTAGTGTTTTCTGGGTCCTGTCAGGGCTTTCCCAAACATATCTTCTGATATTTCTGAATGGTGTACAGCTCGTTCTATGCTTTCACTGTAAAAATGAGACCGGCTGATTTTCAGTCTGCTTGTTCAAAGGCTTAGTTCCTTCAGAAGAGAATTTATTTAAATTAAGCACCCTCGTATCTGAGAGTGCTGGATGATGCTGTGCATGGTGGATGGCCCTGAACATTGAGCCAACAACTGATTTTTCAGCTCCCAGCTCGCCTGTTGTTGCCTTTAACCATTGCACCTTTTCTGGCATTAGAAACTTTAATTACATGCTATTGTAATTTTGCTAACCTTCACACTTTTTTTCTCTATTCTAGACTGCTTTTGTTTGGGTGGTTGGCTAGTTTCTTTCTTCTTTTTCATATATAAAAGGTTAATTTTAGAAGCTTGCTTATTGAATAACTGTCACCTCCTGGATGTAACTTGATTAAGGTGATATAATTTAATCTCCCATAGGTTTACAGCTTTCCTATAACCACATCACAAACCACACTAGCAAGCTCTGTACCATTACAATGCAGCACTTCACCTTCTGTGCCATGTTTTACAGAATTACCTGATAGCACTAATATTTTGCATTTATTTGGCATCACTAGAAGGATCTGCAATAGCTTTATAAATGCTGATGAACGGAGCCTTACAAGTATACCTCTGAGTACAGCACAGTAGGGATTATTGCTTCAGTTTAACACATGGGTAAATTGAGCACAGTGGAGGCAGGAGGAAGGGAGGGGAGAGAGGGAGCAGGGGCTTGTCCAAGGCCTCAATCAATCCCAAGATTTCCTGAGTTCTGGCCACTAGACAATACATCAGGAGGGAAGGATTACCAACTGGAGGCCAGAAAGAGAGAGAGAGTTTTCTGATACAATATGAAGGACAATGGGGTCACTGGGTGCTCATCACTTAAAAATCTGACCATGCAATCCATAAATGGGCACCTAGTTTAGGCAGCCAGTTTGGATACTCATAATCTGAATATTTCCAGAAAAATAATACTATTTAACCAATTGATATATAATTATTAATGACACAAAATAGACTGACCTAATGTTGATTT